AAGTTGCTTCAATGAGATCCATCTCATTACTTTAGATATTCATAAACTAGCACTGTAAAATAATGTGCAGGGTGTCACCCTTCAGAATTGCACTTCACTGAGTTATTGAAGGAGCTGTGAGATAATCAACTGTTTAGTGAACAAAAGCTATCATTCATGTTATTCATATTAAGTTCTTGATTACTGCTATAGTAAGGAACATTAAAATATCTAGCACCAAAATATCTTGCTTCAAAATGATAAAAAATTAAAATATCCATAGTTCTGTAGCTTTCTTGTTAAATTTTAACAAGAAATTGGCTTTCTTGTTAAAAGATATTTCAAATTTTCACATTTATATCATCTCATTATTTGTACTCAAAAAGAAAAAGAAAGTTGTTCTTTGTCTAACAAAAAATGTTTAGTGTAGCTCTATAGCAAGAAGCTAAAAATTGTTACACATGCCATCTAAAGCCATTTCTTCAGAGCCAAAATAAGGTGGACTCACTGCTCAGCTGCTACAGAGAATCCACATTATGAATGGCTGGATTCACATTGGAACTGCTGCATCCAGCCATTAATCTGTGTCAACAGAACACAGGATTGAATCCAGAGTTTCCAGGAAGGTCTGAAATGATCCTGCCGTTTTGGAGACGCGAACAGCTGTTCAGCTTGGATCTATCCCAGTCCACTGTCCACACCACAATTGGGTTACTTGAGGCTTTCTGACAATGTCTGTTTGGATGCTAAACCATGTGATCAGAAATGTGATGTCACCAAAAAGTCTTTGAAAGTGAACAGCTTCCTGCCAGCAACTCAGCAGTGGGAATCCTGATACATCCGCAGCCTGGATGGCCATCTGGATGCTAAACTAGCTTTGGGGATGCTCCTGAGCTTCACTGGAGCAACTCCAGAGCCTCTACATTGAATTAATCTAGTAGGTATAGACATGGCTTAAGAATTCCTGGCTACTAGAAGTTTGAAAATGTCTGATTTTTGCATTAAACATTCTGATAACTTTTTAAAAACAACACCAAATCTTGTAGATGTGATTATGAAAAATAAGTATTATATTCTGTATATGACACAGAACAACAGGATACTAGGGAGTGGCATTTCTAGTAGTTTTCCAACTTTGCACATTCACTAGTGTATGGGAAACCTAATATGGCTTTCAAACTAATGAACAGGCTATGACCAATAACACTGGTATTTATTTTCATGGTTTGGTTAATTCTAGGTTCATCCATTCCCTTTTGCAGTCTAAATATATTTTTTCCAACACTCTAGTTCCTTTTCATCATTCCATTAGCAATTAATGTTTTTTTTTTTCCTCATGCCTTGGGCTATTCTAAAAGAAAATGCATCTCCATCAGCAATGTTGCCACCTCCCTCTGCACTAAGATATTTTTGCCAATTGTTCAAAGTGTCAGGCCTCTGTGCATATATATATATATATATATATAGAGAGAGAGAGAGAGAGAGAGAGAGAGAGAGAAATTCATTATACTTAGAACTGAATATATCTGAAAAGGATATTATTGTTACAGTGTTTGGATATATAATATCTGTTTACTCTCCCATTTTTCAAATGTAACAAGAATATTAGGGGTTTTTTTAATAAAAAAAACTGAACACCCTAACGTCCTCTTCACACTGGCCGCCGAAATCGCCACACATCATGGCAAATCTGGAAACCGCTGTTGGGGGGCATGGGGAACCTGTTGCCCTATATTGTCCAACTTACTTGCAGGGAGTAAGTGATCCCACAGGGAGAAGTGTCGACCATCCAGCTTCCCTCTATTGCTCTAAGGCAACATAGGAAGTCTCCTTGTTGCCATCATAGTGACATGCTCAACTTTGTCACCCCTTTACGCATGGAGCCCCACCGGAAGTAGTAGTGTCATATAATGAGAGCTGGCGGGCTCCGTGCTTAAAGGGGTAGCAAAGTGGAGTATGTCGCCAATTCTTCCCCCATCTGATGATGTAGTCAGTGCAGACCTGTGATACAAAAGACACCATTCTATGTCCACATGTCATCTCCACACTATCAAAAAAAGCATGAGGCATAGCATGATAAGCATTTGATTCTCCTCTTTCATTTACTGAGGTTGCACCTTGAAGATTATAAAACAACTAAAATCCAACATACATGGCAAAGTAGTAAGAGTACTTTGTACAAAATACTGACAAATAGTGAACTCGTAGAATTGTAATAGTAATACTATCAGTACTGGGCAAAATAATACATTATAACTAACCAATTTTAGTAACTAATTACTTTTTACTCTGTGTATATGTAAAGTAAATTATATTTTGTCATGGCGAAGACCCCATATAGTAAGCAGATCAGCCTTATAAAAATGCAGCTGAATTACAAAGAGAATCTCTAGCAGGCAATATTCTTTCCAGATTAAAAGACAGAAACACAGAACTTTAAAAATCAGTTTTTACATTCCCATTCAAAAATATATCCCAAGTGCATAAGCTTTCACTAAGTACCAACCTTGGTACAGAAATACAATGTCAGAAGACGATGCATGTAATCAAGAAGTAAATCTCTTTGTCTCTAGAAAACTGGAGCTCAGACACATAAGGCCATCTATTTTTTAGCTTTTGTTTTATTACAATATGTTCTCACCAGTGGTTCACAGGAGTGACACCTGTGAGGGATGAAATAGATCTCATATATAGCGAGAGCACTGGATTTGACTTTAAAATAAGATTCACTATAAACACTCAAGAAATACAAAAAATCAGAGCGAAATGACAAGCATGCCTATTGCCAAAGCCTCTTTGTGTTCACTAACGTGTTTAACTTAAACTCATCATTATGTAAATAAATTCTGTTCACATCATTTTGCCAAGGTCAGTGTCAACTTACTTGGGTTATACCTTGGATATAAATACCCATCAGAGAGCATAAAATGCCAAGTCCAGCAGTTTAAAAATCCAGTACGCCTGCAGCACCATTACATGCTTTTAGCTGAAGCGCTCTTATTTTAGACTTTCCCAATTGTGCCCCTTTTGAACCTCAGTAGCTTTTCTGATATTTTTAAAAGCTAATTCAGAAAGCTAGCTAATCACAGATTCATAAGGGTTGCAGGAAGACAATATTGATGGTTTTATAATCAGCAGCCCACATGTAGAACAAATAATGGTTACTCCTAGATTTTAATGCCTAATGTATCCATCATATAATAGATAATCAACAGTTATGAACAAAATGACTACCAGGCACAAGAAGGAAAACAGCAACAAAACTCAGTCTGTATACACAACCATCTAGAGCAGAACTTTCCAAAAATTTAATGTTGGTGACACACCATTTTAAGATATACATCATTTTGGGATACAGCAATTCAATTTTCCTAGCAAACTTGAAGTTAAACCAGCCCTTTAAAAGAGATATTGGCACATAATAATAACAAAATGTATGAGGACACAACATATCTTAATAAAATCTTTCATTGATATTTTTAAAAAATATGATTTAATGCTTATTTCAAATAGACTCAGAGGTTTCTCATTATATTCATGTGACACACCTACACACTGCAGCCGATACACTAACGTGATGTGACACAGAGTTTGGAAAACTTTGGTCTAGAGCAGGGGTCGCCAAACTAAAACCTGTGTGACCTTGGATGTGGCCTCCAAGGTCATTTACTCTGTCCCTGCCCTAAAGATTAGACTTAGGGTCACCCTAAGTCTGAAACGACTTGAAGGCACACAACAACAATCCTAATTAACTTGACTATTTCATCAGTCAAAAGCGGGCCCACACTTCCCATTGACATATTGGTGAGTTTAAGTTAGTTAAAATTGTTCTTTATTTTAAATATTGCATTTTTTTAAAAAAAATGCACTACAAATATGATATGTGAGGTGTGCACAAGAATTTTTTCATGTTTTTTTTTTCAAACTATAGTCTTAGATCCTCTGGAGGGAAGCTATTACATCCTGCCAGAACTCGACTGGTAACCACCACCAAGAGGACTTTTTCCCTAGACACCCCAAGACTGTGGAATGTCCTGCTGGAAAAGCTCCGACAGCTAAATGAGCTGTAGGAATTTAAAACTCATTTAAAGACCTATCTCTTCCAGAAAGTCTACCCAGCCAGTTTTAAGCATGAATTTTAAACTTGTGTTCTTTTAAATTTCTGTCCTGTGTATTTAACATGCATTTTATAGAAATATGCTTTAATATGCAACTTTTATAGAACTACATTTTAATGTGTGTTTATAGAATTTTGCAATGTTTGTGTGTTTTGACTGTGCTGTGACCCACCTTGAGCAATGAGGAGAGGCGGATAAGAAATGAAATTATCATTATTATTGTTGTTGTTGTTATTCTACTGACACAAAAACACAGTATGTCACAGCAAACAAGATATATATACTGGATTTCATATCAAAAAATCACAAGTTGAACACTTCCCAAGCATTTAGGACAGTGTGATGTATTTTTGAATGATGCGTGCAGATCCAAATAAGGTGGCCTTTTGCAGATGACAGATCGTGATTTTGTCAATGTTTATTGTTTCCAAATACCGGCTGAGATCTTTTGGCACGGCACCCAGTGTGCTGACTACCACTGGAACCACCTGTACTGGTTTATGCCAGAGCCTTTGAAGTTCGATTTTGAGGTCCTGATAATGGCTGAGTTTTTCCTGTTGTTTTTCGTTAACTCGGCTGTCATCTGGCATGGTGGTGGTGGTTGTTGTTATTATTATTATTATTATTATTAGTAGTAGTAGTAGTAGTAGTAGTAGTAGTAGTAGTAGTAGTAGTCTGGTCCCCCAACAGTATGAGGGACCATAAACCAGTCCCCTGCTTTAAAAGTTTGAGGGCTCCTGGTTCAAAGTATAACAGATGCTATCAACATAATTTGCTCATCAGATTTCCAATCATACAAATACCTAATCATCAGTACTGTACCTGTAAAACAACTTTTGTTGCAAAGTGTAAGAAACAGTAACAAAAAAGATTAAACCCAAATTCCAAATGGAAGTAACTTACCACGCAACACAGTGAGTCTTGTGGACACACTTATTTCACCAACACTGTTAGAAGCAACACATTCATAAATAGCTTCATCTCGTGGAGTTCGTAGTGGTTGTATTCTGAGAACTGATCCAGACCCATCATCGAACTCTATTACCTATTGAAAGGAAACAATAGCTGTCACAGGTGTTGTAACAAAGGCCAATCTTTCCGCTAATCCTGAAAGAGTGTAGCTACTCTAAAAGCCAATGGTAGATATTTTATAACCATAAAAAGAACACATTCAAGTTATATTTTTTTCTAAACCTTAAAGGTAGTTTTTAATGAATTTAAGTGGCCCTCAGTGAAAAAAAATATCAGTGCTGAGTTTTGAAAGCCAGGTGATTTTATGCTAATAGGTTTTTAGTTATGGACTGGACTAATTGCCAATTTCTTTGACAAAGACATAACAGGGCAGTGATGCCATGAGAAGGTAATGGGGGCACTGATGGCTATGTCCATAGTGTTTCTATTCACACTGACTGAAGGAGTTGTTTCCAGGCCAGTGCAAAACATTACATCCAATTTATGCTGTGCCACACATTTTCAGCCAGCTGGCAGCTGCAAATTAGAAAAACTGCAGACTCTGAGGCCAGTTCAGCCATTACACCCAGGATATTTCTTTGTGCTTCAGGGGCACTGTGACACCAACAGACCCCTGTCTATGCCAGATCTCAAGCACCAAGAACATAACATTTTGCATTTGGAGAAAAGCAGTGTATTTAACAAATCTTCTACAGGGAATGGTGCAACAATATGACCAGGAACAAACTGAGAATACTGATAGATCCTGGCAGAAACTAAGTCTTTTATGTGCGATTATCAGACCTCTTCTGCCCACCCTATGGCTTCATGTTATATTTCTGTGAGTAAAAATAACCTGCATTTTTTAAATGCATGTAAGCAAAGTGAAAGATTTACTAATATCTAGTTTTGTAAATCTGACTACAGAGCCACATTGTAGATAATACATTTGACAGAATGGAGACCTTTCTCCCTCTGGCTTAGCACAAAGCTATTATGTGCTTTTGGCTCATTTGGTATATATTCTAACACTGCTCAATTGAGTGCCGAATTAGCACAGTGCTAATTAGCCAATTTTTTTTTCAAAAAATTGAACGAAAAATGTTACAGAGGTTGGAGCAGCAGAGTAAGCAAATCATACATTTCTGAAGAACATAAGAAATTACATGACAGTAGGTATAGAAGCTTGTGAAGACCTTGGGGGGGGGGGGGACCTTTTAGACTGTCCAAAAACCCTGACAAAAAGAATCCTCTTCAAGCTCCTTTCTCATTTTCTCTCCAGCCTATTAATAGATTCAATAAATATTCCTACCATGCATACTCCAGGCTCAATTATTTCCTGCCCTCCACCATTGGGAGGAGTATCATTGTGTGAGAATACCTGGTGCACAACAATAACATCTGCATCATTACAAACTTGCTATCAGAGCCCAATGGCAAGGCTATAGCCTCCACAGCCTTCCCCCAGCTTCCAGTCACCTTCTCAACCTGAGAGTGGGGAAGAGAATACTATAGACTTCAGGTCTTTGCCTGGCTCCCTACTCCTCCACCAAACAGACAATAAATGGGAAGCCAAGCTAGAAAGGATTCTCACACTTCTTCTCATTCATCTCCCCCTGTTGCTGTTGTAGGTTTTCTTCTCTTTGGGATTTCAGCAACAGGATGGAAACCGATTAATTCATTAATTCTCCCTTGTAGGAACATGAAAGTATAACACAACATATCCCCAAGACTTTGTGACCTTTAAAAAAAATTAAACACAATTTCCGTTTAGTTCACCACCTCTGATTTCTTGCAAAAGCAGGGGAAGGTTTACTTTTACCTTGAGGTTCCCCCTGAACAGCAGAAATGGAAAATAACTTACCCAATTCAAGAAATAACAGACATAAAATTCCATCTAAATGAGCAATGTTAAGAAATTGCTCCCATGTATGAGCACATGTATTACTACCTCTGTCTTTTCTGCTCTTCGGTTAATTTTTCAGCCAATATTTTGAAGCTGAGGAAAAGTACCCTATATACTCATGTTTGAGTCTAGAAAATTTAATTTAAAAATCAACCCAAAAATTTGGGTCACCTTCACCACAGGGCAATTGGAGTACCTTATCACTTATCAAAAAATGAAGAATCCTCTTCTCTGGATAAAGAAGCAAAAGGAACAACCTTAGTACACCCCAGTAGACACAGGTAATCTGCTCTTACATATCAATTACATTGAAACATGTATCACATGCAAGCCTATGCACAGGCTACCTTCCTTCCTCCCTCGAGATCTGCTATACCTGTATAATGTATAACATGTCAAATCTGTATCTATTCCCAACAATATGTTATAATCAACCACTCCTGGTGTAGAATTAGTAACACTAATGACTAACAACAAGATAACTGCAATCATGGTCACAGTAGTAACAGCATAATAGAAATAAAATTATCATCATCATCACAATTAATACGTGTATAAAAAACTAAAATACTATCTCAATAAATCAAATAGGCACAGTTTACATTCAAAAGCACATATCGATTTACATCCACAATATCTACAAAATATAAGGACAGAATTTTATATGTAACACAATAAATGTAAAACTGGTACAGAACAGTCATATTCAAATTTCTGCAGCACTTTGGTGTGTACATAAAACACCTAAAATGGTTCTACATCCACCACTTTAGAGGAAGCTTTGAAATGAGTCAGAATGTTGGTCCATCTACAAGTTGAACATCCTTTATCTGGAATTTGGAATCCAAAATCTTCAAAATCGAAATAGTCTGCATAAGTGGCTGAGATAGTGGTACCTTTGCTTTCTGATGGGTCCATGTACACAAACTTTGTTTCATATACAAAAATATAATATATTTTACTAAAATTACTTTCAGGGCACATTGAATTTCATGTTTAGGCACGATGGGTCCCATCTCACAAGATACCTCATCATTCATATGCAGTATTCCAAAATCTGAGAAAATCCAAAATCTAAAATACTTCTGGTCCAAAGCATTTCAGATAGGGAATACTCTACCTGCATTATCAATACTGACTAGCATTTGCTCTCTAGGGTTTCAAGCAGGATTCTTTCCAAGCTTACCTGGAGAGATGTCAAGGAGTAAACCATGGAACGTCTGCATTCAAAACATGTCCTACCACATATTTTGAATACAGAAGTTCCAGAGTGGCTGGTGTCAACAGTTTGGTGAATCCATTCCAGGTTTTAATCCTGTTTCTAAAGCAGCTCTCAAAGATTCAGCACACTCTAGAGCTTCTTTAAAACTGGAAAAAACCTGGCATGGACTCACCACTCTATATTTACACTGTCCAACTGCCACTGCAACCACTAAGCTATAATCCCTCACTCTTCAGTGTAATAAGCAGCCTTAACTGAAATGATATTTGCAGGTCCACTGATACTGAAGTGAACAGTAAAATGCTTATTTATAACAAGATATTTCTATCAAGATACTTGTACCTTGGCATATGGATGTGGGACCAAGCCTTTGGACAGTAATTCTCAGTACAATAAGTGACTATGGAATAGTGCAGCTTATGACTGGAATGGCTCATGGAGTACGCCTCTAGACTGTGTGCTTTTAATTCATTGGTTTTTAGATTGAGATGTTTTAACTTTTTGGTTTTAATGTATATGTTTTGTTTTATTCTATGTATGTATATGTGGCATCAAATTGTGCCTTTTTTTGTGAGCCGCTCTGAGTCCCCTTCAGGGTGAGAAGGATGGGGTATAAATACAGTAAATAAATAAATGATCTGGCCTTGATTTATGGCAACCATACAAATGAGAGATCACTAAGAAACCTTGTTATTAGTATCCTGCTCAAGCCTTACAAATTTAGGGTTTTGGCTTCCTTGACTGAAACAATCCACCTATAGTATCAGCTTCCTTTTTTCCTATTACCTTCAACTTTATCAGGCATTACCTTCTTTGTCAATGAGCCATGCCTCATGATGTGCTCAAACTGTGCTCAGGCATGATGTGCTCAGTTTATTCATTATGGTTTCCAATCAAGAGTTTACATTTTATTTGTTCCTGTACCTGTTTATTTGTTGGTCAATGGTATCAATACAACTCTCCTCTAGCACTACATTTTAAATGAGCTATTTTTTTTTTATCTTAATTTCTTCCTCTCATTTTTCTTAACTGCCTAATTTTCACCTCAGTACATAGAAATACTATGGCACTGAAAAATGCAGTTGGAGACTGTACCAACCCTATATTTTAGAGCTATTACTTATATTTTGATTGTATTGTATCTTTGTGCCTTCAAGTCACCAGCTGACTTATGACAACTCCTTTAATTTCTTAGAGTTTTCTGAGCCAAGGAATATTCAGAAGTAATTTTGCCAGACCTTTCCATTGGAGTATTGCCTACAGCAACTGAAATCAGTTGGTAGTGTCCCACTACTTAAATTATACAGATTTGAAAGGCTACTCATCAAAATAAGATCAGAAACATCTTGGTCTTTGACTGTGGCTGGAAAAAAAATCAACTTCATTCATTTCCCCAAATCACAGTTCAAAATCTTTTGCAGGAGTCTGTATAGTATTAACCACTGACAACACTGTGCATACATATTTCTGCTTCTTGCCCCACAGGTCATTGATATGTAGAGCATAACCAGCACACTTCGGCGGAATGCACACAGAGAATACAAAGCAATGAAATTAAAACATTCACAGCACATCCAAGTCCCCATCTGGTCAGTAGTTTGTATGGACAAGCCTTATAAATAAAATTGAAATTCCTCTTCAGGGAGAAATCTGACTGGCATTAATCGTTTTGTTCTGATAGGCCACTGTGAGAATCAATGCTACCATTTTAAAATCATCATTGTTCAGAAGCAGTGGGGAATAATCAAGTGATATTAAAGTAAATGTTTTTCAGAGGAACAGAACAATGGACCTAATACCTCAAATCTCTGATTGCTGACTTTCTTGCCCTTTTTGTTCCAGACAATTTTAGGTCTTGGGTCTCCTGTAGCTTGGCAGATGAAGGATGCGACTCCCCCAGAGACCCCTGTCTGGTCAACGGGTGTTCTTGTAAACTTTGGTGGTGCTAAAAAAGAAAACAGCAAAAATAAATCTAAGCAAGAAATATCCAAAAGAATGTGTCAAGCTGTCAAAAGTAATAAAAGAGAAATCTTTTGTTTCTCCTCAAACAATTTTAACCCTTCAAGAAATATTTAAAGAGAAATATAATCTGGCACAAAAAACAGCTAGAGATATTTCAATATTCCTTGATTGAAGGAATTTGCAGTTAGAAAGCAGCATACAATTTGCATTTAGGTCATTGCATTTGATCATTCTACATTATTCAGTAATGTCTTGAGTTAAGAGTTTAATTTGTTCCATGACTGAGCTCTTAACTCAAAATGCTCTTATCTCAAAGTGAATTTTCCCATTAAAATGATATTAATCCATTCCCTGCTGCAACCCCCCTTTGCTGTTTTTTTGTTGTTGCATGTTTTAAAATAAGAAAATGTACTTTATAAATGCCAAATAATATATAAATGCACATTTACACAGAACAATAAAGAAAGATCAACTTTTAAATGGTAGATGCACAAAATTGTGGCAAGGAAGCACTTTTGAGGCAACAAAATGTGTGTTAGCCAGTGCAACAGTGCAAAACTTGCACATTCACATGGAACAATAAAAAAAGAAAGATAAACTTTAAAGTGGTAAATGCACAAAGTTGTGGAAGGAAAGCACAAAGTGAAGAAGCAGAAGCATCATTTTTTTCACACTGTACTCATTCCAGCCTCCCCCCCTTCTCTTGCTCTCTCCCCCTCTCTCTCTTCATGAAGCCAAACATACCAAGAATAAAACCCACACAAAATCAACTAACCCAAAGTTCCTCAAAGTGCACAAGAGCAACATAAACAGCAACTTCCCAAAGTGGACAAGAACATGAGGCGTGAATGCTGCTTCTTTGCCCTGTACTTCTTTGCCCTCTGGGACACTCTTATGTCGAGGCTCCACTGTATATAAAACTCAAGTCCAAGTCCAATGTTGACTTTTCAATCCATATGTACCTCACAACTGACACACATATAGGATCAAGAGTTATTATAGCTATAAATGGAAATGACTGGTTATTTCCTCCTTTTTCTCTCTGTACCTCCTCCCACCTACATCTTTTAGATTTTGATCTTGAGAGCTGGTCTTTTATTGATCTGCCATCTAACCTGTGAGATTTTTTTGGCTGACAAGCAAGCTAAAAAGGCTTTAACAAAATCAGTTTTGACAGATAAGGAACAGAAGCAACCTCAAACCAGGCAATGGAATGCAAAAGTATTTTATCAGACACAGAATGTAGAAGCCTAAAGCCAAACCATACATTATACATGTTTACATGTAGCACTTGTCTGGTGGTCCTGAAAACTCGCTGGAGGCAATAGAGATATAGAAGCGGACTGCTACTTCCCCATTTTTAATTATTTATTTAATACATTTCTATCTCACCTTTTAGTGCAAGGTAGCTTACATGCAAGGGTATTTTGTTTTGTTTATTGGCTGGACATAGCCAATTAATAGAACAAATTGGGGTGTTGTTGTTTTTTAAAAAAAAACCCACCAAAGCAGGTCTATTCAGTCCTATAAAACATACCAAAAGAGCAAGAATGTTATTTGGTAAACAAGGATCACATCCTCTCTGCTACCCATCTAAAATGCAAGGAAAGCATTTTTTTTGGGGGGGGGGGGCATGCACACAAATATATTCATTTGTGGAAAACTATTAGCAGGAAATCCTCCAAGATGTTTAATAATTTAAAGAAATGTTTGTGTCAAAAAATCCAATAATCAAACCCTCAGTTAATGCAGGCTTTCAGTTAACCCTGAGGCCAAATAGTCCCGCTGACATTTGTCATAAAGCAATGCACTGAAATCTAGGAGATGCAGATGCATTTGCTGAAGAGTCCTTGAGGACAGCTGCTGCAGTCTTTTCCACTTGCAGAGTTGGTCAGCCTTCAGATAGCGAATGTATTTAGAAAGATGAGGAAAGACACAGAAACGAGTATTTGGGGTCAGGAAACCCTCTATTAGCATTTGCCAACTGCTGGGCTTGCTTTTTAAATTGTCAAAAGGATTCTCAAGCTTTTGGCCACTGAAGAGATGATGGCTCTGCTGAATCATTTCCATGCCTCACGCTGCCACCCTTCCCTTCCCCCCCCCCCAAATATTGAGACTGCAGGTGCTTGAAATAAAGATTTTGAATAGTTTTGCTTACACATGATCAACAATATAAATTGCTCTGTGAGTCAAAATGCCTTCATTTATGATGCAGCTAAATAACAAATCTCATGTTAAGTAAACAGAGGATGAACTTACATTGGCTTTGCCATAAAACTCTGACTTATTGAGCTTATTGCAGCTGTTACTACAGTTGTTCAGCATAAAAGTATGAAAACTAGTTTTCCATACTCAGGAGAAAAAAACTCTTTCTGGAGTATGAAAAAGACAGGGACGATGAGAAACTAATGCAAAAAGACGCTATCCTTTTTTGCACAACAGCTTGCCATCATTCTGATAATGCTGCCCCAGAAATTAGTGCTTTCATTTGATCTAAATCAAATGAGAAATAAGTATCAACCATTTCCCCCAGTATTTCCACAGATTTTCACAGGTAATGAAATGAGGCTAAAGAATTTTGGCTACTTTTCAAATGAACGCATTGGCAAAATTATTTCAGTGACTAGGTAAATTTTTGGCTTTCTAAACCTCAGAGAAAAATTCAAAGACCTGTTTCTGGTGACAAATATTTTTGTTCCCTTATTCACATAATAATGCTACTTTGGGGAAGCACAATCCTCTGTTATGCATTTTCTTACTGCCATGTGATGGACAAAGTACCGAAAATGTCTGTTGTTTGGTTGATAGAAATGTTCCTTCTGACAAAACTAATTTGTTTTTAATTTTCCTTCAACACGAGCTTTGGTCTACACCAGTCAACATGAGATATAGAAAAATGTCTTGCTGTTTCCTTCTGCCAACTTCAAAATCACAGCTTGCAATATATTAGCTGATGAATGGAGTGGGGACAAGTCCATGTTAGTTGTTCACTCAAGATATACTGCTCGTGGAAATAGAGAAATTAATGATCAAAATGGCAATATGTTTGAACTGAAATTAAGACCCTTCCACACAGCTGAATAAAATCGCACATTATCTACTTTGAACTGGAATATATGGCAGTGTGGACTCAGATAACTCAGATCAAAGCTGATATTGTGGGATTTTCTGCCTTGGTATTCTGGGTTATATAGTTGTGTAGAAGGATCCTTAGTTTATGTAGCAAGAATAAACTACAACATTGGTTTGTCAGGGTTCTATGGAAATCTAATGCACTGGTGTGCCTTCAGCCATACATGACCTAATAAAAACAATCACCATAAAGCCTTACATGAATAAATTAACATACATTTATTGCTTTCTTAACAGAAGGTTACACTGAATTACACTTAACAGAATTACACTGAATGCAAACTATTATTCCATTTGGTACTGGACATATATAAGCATTCATTTCATCTGCAAAGAGGAGCTATGGTATGCACACTACAACAGTGTTCTACTGGACCAAGCGAGAACTGGCATGTATTTTGAACCTTCTCTGAACACCCAAGTGCAAAACACAACGAATATATATTTGGCACAGTTCATTAAGCAATATATCATATCAGCGTGGGAAAATTCCGCTACAATATATTATGCCAAACAAAGAGAGACAGAATTTGCTTCCAGTAGATTAAACACACAGCATATGCCCCCGAGTTGACCAGGTTGAACATCCAGCTGGGTGAGATAATGAATGTATCACACTCAGCAAAAAAATGGAAAATCAGTGTCCTTCTTTGGCCTGACAATATGCAAGACTACTTTCAAATGTATATATATATAATAGAAATCCACAATCCCATCTGACTATTTTAACAGTCTTGGGTTTTATCAGCATTCTCATGTTACACAGTTCAAAAATGTCCTGCTGATTTCACCCAGTTGCTTCATAAAGATGAGGGATGGGCAACTACCTTAGATCCAGCAAACACTCCTTAATAGACTATGGAGGGTGGCAGTCCCAATCCCCAAATAGTAATAATGCATTTATTTACTCAAAATGTCCCATACACAATCTAAAGCAGAGCTTTTGAAACTTTAGGTCATGACACATTTGTGTGTTTAGGTGTGTCACGAGAACATAACAAGAAACCTCTGAGCCTATGTGAAATAAGCAATACCAACTTGCATGTATTTTAGGCAGCAGAGATGCCAATTAGTATGGTGTACTAATCCCATTCTGTCATATCCTTATAAGCATGCTACAGTTGAGGGATCTACAGGCACTGTGCATTATTGAGTCAAAGCTGTGATTTTGCATCATTTCCAGTATAACTGAATTACTGTGTTGTGAAATGATGCAGGTCTAAAAACTGTGTCACCAGCAAGAAATGTTTTGAAAGCTTTGCACTAGAGGTTACGAGGTACAATTTCACCATGATCTATGCTCCTGGACCAATAGAGGTCTTTCCGCAAGACGCATGATGGAATTGCCTCCAACATACCTGAGAAATTGAAATGAGACATTTGAGTAAAATCAACCAACAATTCAATCAATAAAATGGAAGCTACTAAAAGCCACCCAACTGCCTAGAGGCTTCATATGGATTATTTTTTGTGTTAATCCCCCTCCCCCCGGTTAGATATTAAACAGTATGGGAGGCGCAAAAAAACCTTGCAGTGTCACACACCTCAGTAGCTTGGGCCAAACAGAAACCCACTATTGTTATCATGTGGAAGAAACATTATAGACAAAAATACAACAACCAAATATTTGTGCTCACCTCAAAGAGTCAGCCCAACTAAACTGCATTACATTTAAAGTTGATATTCATTGGAGACTAACAAAAATATTGCCTTCATTCTGTCCTTCCCTCAAAGAATGTGATCTGAGGGTAGCTATAACTGTTTTGCTACCAAACCCCAGTCTGAAAATGACCTAGAATAGATAGCTATATAATGTGCTTATTCAAAAGCTATGTGAAACTGACAGCCCCG